CATGCTTCTCTCCTGTGAGAGTCAACAGGAAACCTGACCAAGATGATATGGGCCCAAACAGACCCTCAATACCTTTTGCTGAAGCGATCAAATCTCTCAGCAGCCCACTCAACAGACCTGATGAAAACACCATGGTTACTGCATCACCAAGTGGGATTGATGCTACCACTTCCCCTGTGTCTGCCCAAAAGATGTATTGCTCTGGTCTGCTGAAAGAACTAGAAGATTCTTCTTCTGACACTGACAGTGAATCTGCTGAACCTGAGGAGGATATGATTACTGTTGAGACACACATAGCTACTGGCCTGAAGATGATGGAGCTCATGGATAAAACCAAAGGGAAGGCTTCACCAAAAACCAAGTGGGGACCAGTGATTGCTCCAAGACTGAGTTCCAGAGCCCACAACAGGCAAAACATCATGGAAAAAGCTGCAGCCTACAAAATGAAGAAAAACCTGGAGATCCCACCTACCTTTAAAAGTAAGTCTTTTACTGATGATGCTATTTCTAATTTAGAGGCTTATGCTTCTGCAGTTAATCTCAAAATTGGTGATGATGAGAGAGACAAGAACCACATCATTAACCAGATTATTAGAGATGAATCTGAAAAATGTCTTGTGTTTGCTTCCCAAAATCCTGAAGTTTCCTTGCCTGGTAGTTTAGATATTGGACCCGACATTGATAATGGAGTTTATACTCCAGAAAAAGACATTCCCAACACTCACACATCAGGGGGAACTGCTGATGATGTGGGTGGAAATGGGAATAATGTGAGAGGAGGACTTTTTAGTCTGACACACCCTTTCAAAATTCCATGATTGGTATCTTTTGGAATATTAGAGGTTTGGGCCAAAAAGGGAAACTACAGTGCCTGTCTGACTTGGTTGGTAAATATAAACCTGATTTTTAGGATTTCAAGAAATTAAGAGAGAAACTTTATCTGACTCCTTCCTTAATGCCTTAGCTGGTTCTAGTGTGTATGACTGGCACATTCTACCTACTATAGGCTCTGCTGGGGGTATCCTTGTGGGTACCAAAACCAATCTTTTTGAGGTACTTAGTGTTAGCTGTAAAAAAATACTGCATTATCATTACCCTGAAAAATAAGACTGATGGGTTTTGTTGGCATCTGATTGTGGTTTATGGCACAGCTTATGCTGTAGACAAGATTGATTTTATTGCGGAATTGCATGAGAATATGGATGATTTATGTTATCCTGTTTTACTGGGAGGTGACTTTAATCCGATTAGAGAAGCTAAGGATAAATCCTCAGGCAATATAAATGCTTCCTGGACATTATTGTTCAATGACTGGATAAATAAATGGGGCCTTATGGAATATAGATTAGCTAACAGGGTATATACTTGGAGCAACAACCAAGACAACCCTATCTTTGCCACCATTGACAGGGTTTTCTCTGCCACCAGTTGGGATAGTCACTTCCCTCTCACTACCTTATGTGCCCTTCCTAGGGTGGGGAGTGACCATGCCCCAATACTTCTTGATTCTGGAATGAGTAGCAATAACCCTACTAAACCTTTTAGATTTGAGAAATGGTGGTTAGACCAACCAGATTTTAGACCCTTAGTGGAGAAAATTTGGGCCACACCATCACCGTGTACAACTGCTATTGGGACCTGGCAATTTAAAACCAAACTATTTAGGAAAAGTGTTAAAGGATGGAGCATTAATCTGGAAGCAGCTATGAAGAAGAAAAAGAAAGAGCTCCTTCTGGAGTTTGATATCCTAGATATCTTTGCTGAACAAAACAGGACAAATGTTGGGGATGTCCTCAGAATGAAACAAATTAAAGAGGAACTTGAGGGGATCTGGAAGAAAGAAGAGACTGCCATATGGCAGAGATCTAGAGATAGGAAGATCAAAGAAGGGGACAGAAACACAGCCTACTTCCATGATGTTGCTAATCAACACAGAAGGAAGAATCAATTGACTGTCCTGGAGGGCCCTAATGGGCCTGTATACTCCACTAAGGACATGATGGAGGTGGCCACTAACTTTTATAAAAATCTCTTTGGGTTTGAGCCTAAACCTAATATACACTTGGATGACCAGTTTTGGTCTGATGAAGAAATGGTGACAGAAGCAGAAAATACTTCCCTGGAAAAACCTTTTTCAGAAGAAGAAATTAAAGAGGCCATTATGGGATCTTATGCTAATGGAGCCCCTGGTCCTGATGGTTTGTCTTTTCTTTTTTATCAACAATTCTGGGAGGTGATCAAGGGTGACTTTATGGCCCTGGTTAAAGATTTTGAAAATGGGGTTCTGGATGTCCAGAGACTAAACTATTCTATTGTTACTTTGATCCCTAAAGAACCAGATGCCAAGAACATGAGGAAATTCAGACCCATCTGTTTGAGACAAACAGAGTTGGCCCTGTTGGTCATAGGCTCCTATCCCCATGTCAATCTGCCTTTGTGAGAGGCAGGTTCATTTTGGAAAATGTAGTTACTGCTCATGAGGCCATCCATGAGGTCCATAAATCAAAAGAATCGGGGATTGTTCTCAAAATAGATTATGAAAAAGCCTATGATAGAGTGAACTGGGATTTCCTAGTAGAAATGCTTACATCTAGGGGTTTTGGGGCTAAGTGGATTAGATGGAACTTATCCATTTTGCAACAAAGCTCTTTATGTGTTAAGATCAATGATACCCTGGGTCCATACTTTGTGGGTGGAAAAGGTTTAAAACAAGGGGATCCAAGTTCCCCCATGCTTTTTAATTTGGTAGCTGATGTGTTTTCTCGCATGTTAGCTAAAGCTGTTAATAACAATATCATATCTGGGATTGTTCCCCATATCATCCCTCAAGGACTCATATGCCTGCAATATGCTGATGATACAATTCTCTTTCTTAACCCTAAACCTGAATATGTTAGGAACTTGAAATGGCTACTTGCCTGCTTTGAAAACCTTTCTGGGTTAAAAATCAATTATGACAAATGTGAAGTAGTACCTATCAATATTAATGAGGATGATGCTAAACTCCTGTCTCAGATTTTCTATTGTAAAGTAGGGGATTTCCCTCTAAAATATCTTGGAGTTCCTCTTCACTACCTCAAATTGAGGAGAGAAGACATCCAATACATCATAGATAAGATCATCAAAAGGATATGTGGATGGAAGGGGAGATTGCTTAGCTATGAGGCAAAACTAGTCCTCCTTAAGGCATGCATTGCCAGTATCCCCATGTACCTCATGTCAGTTATTAAGTTCCCCAAGTGGGCGATCAAAGCCATCACTTCTCAGATGGCTCACTTTTTCTGGGGGAATGTGGGGGATGAACATAAGTACCATCTTGCTAACTGGGGTTTGATCTCCCAGAAAAAAGACTTTGGTGGTCCGGGGGTATCTAACCTGAGAGAATTCAACATGGCCTTACTAGCCTCTTGGGCTAAAAGGTATTTTATGGACAGTAACAAAAACTGGGTGAAGCTGATCGACCACAAATATAAAACAACTAAGCCGAATATACTGTGGTCTAGGCAGGGGGTGGGTTCTCCCTTCTGGAAAGGTGTCACCTGGGCTTTCGAGGGGGTTAGACCCTTCTATAAATGGAAACTAGGGAATGGTAATAAAATAAGTTTTTGGGATGACGTTTGGGTGGGGGATTCTTCCCTCAAAACCCAATTCTGGGACGTATATGAAATCTGCCAATAGCAATGCTGCACAGTTTCTGAGGTATGGGATGGTTCTACTCTCAAACTTACCTTTAACAGGTGTGTGGAGCCTGGATTTTTAGATAGATGGCATGAATTGGTCCGAATCATCTCTGACATGCCAATAACTGACGAGACGGACCAACCCATTTGGAGATTGGAACCGTCGGGGGTCTATTCAGTTAAGTCATTTTATAACATGATTAATTGGGGAGGGGTGTCTACCCCCATTTGGAGAAAATTCTGGAAGATTGTTGTACCTCACAGATATTTAGTCTTTCTCTGGCTAGCTTTTCATAACAAAATTCTTACCAGGGATAACCTGAATAAGAGGAGAGAGGTGGAAAATCTAAAATGCTTATTTTGTAATGAGGATGAAACTGTCTGTCACCTGTTCTTTGAGTGTGTGGTTGCTAAACAAGTTTGGAGTGATATATCTGACTCTTTTGAGTTTAGTATTCCAAATGACATGAATGAATTATCTTCCTTCTGGAATCTAAATAACAAAAAGTCTGTTACTAATATTGCTTGTGTCGCTACCATTTGGAGCATTTGGACGATGCGTAATGATATGTGCTTTCAGGGCGTACAGTGGACAAACACGCGTACAATCTTGGCAAGGATCAGCTCGTCACTACATCAATGGAAGGTGCTATGTGTGGGCGACCAATCGGTGCTGCTGAGAAGATGCATCCAACTCCTAGATCGGCAAAGAGGCGAGGTGCTCAGGATTGCATGGGAGTCGGCCTGAGAGCTTGCAAGAGAAAGATCGAAGAGGAGATGCTGAAGATTCACCCAGAATGAAAAGTAGAGATAAAAAATAGCAGAGTGATCTGTTTTCAGTTCCCCTATCATGGTAGATGTATGTCCGTCTTTGCACTTCCTTAGAATGCTGAAATTTGTCTTTTGACTCCGTTGTCTCTGGTCCTGCCATTCAGGCAGGTTCCGAATGCTTATAACGGTCTGCTGTGACTCGCTTTGCTTCGTTTTAATAAAATGGAGTGGGGGGAAACCCTTTTCAATCAAAAAAATATTCCACGAGTCTAGTAGCGCACGCAGTAAAGATAACATTAGTAGGCTCAAGTATATGTTGAAAACAAGATCTATGTCTCGTTTTCTAAATAATACTTCCTTTGTAAAGAAATGCGAATATAATGCTGGAGGAGTACATGAGGAGTACTAGAGGTGAGACGATTCCAAGCCGGATCCGTGCTTTGCACGATGGTGTTCTGCATTTGTTTCGAGCTGCTCCCCTTTTATTTGTCTTTAGATATACTAAAATATTCTGCAGTTTTTGTTTTGAGTTGCTGGTGAAGCTGCTAGCTAGGATATGTGCTGTTCTGCATTTGTATTCGGTGCACTTGCATTTGTGGCATAAACAGCACGTCCGAAAAATTGTGATTTTTCTTTTGAAAACGCGTTCAGTGGATGCTTGTGGGGCATATTGCATGGCGATTTGTCCATGGCTCGTCAGCCGTCGGCGCTAAATGAATCGCCTGGACGCGTAGCACCGTGGAGGACATGGCTTCCTCCTACCTTAAGTCGCGGAGTGCATGCTCCAAGGGCAGCACAACCATGGCAGGGATCCCACGAAACTTTGTCCTACACATTGCTTCCTCTCCAATACGTTCCCCTTTTTTATTCTGGCCAGCAGAACAGCACAAGCTGACTCAGCAGCGATCGCTGGATGGGCATAGACACACCCATGCGCGCTCTCGTGCACATCCATGGATGGGCATAGACACACTGGCTAGCTACTTGGGCGGCAGCATGGACTTGGCGATGGCCACGAACATCCCCTTGTTGGCAGCGAAGCGGGCGAGCAGGTGCGACCTGTCCGGCAGGCACGCCCTCACCTTCTCGTCGGACACGTACTCCTTGGCCCAGCGGCAGAAGCGAGGGAACTCATCCTCGGTGACCAGTCTCACCTCGGCAACCTCCTCGAAGACGCCTAGCCAGTGCGCGAACCCGCAGGCGGCGATGTCGACAAGACCGATGGCGTCGCCGCCGAAGAACCGCCTCCCCTCCAGCTGCGCCTCCAGCAGCGCGAAGTTCTCCTTGGCCTCCTTCACAAACCCCTCCTGTGCCTCGCCCTCCGCCCACAGCGCCAACCAGTACGCCTTCGAGCACTGCACGGTGCAGGCAAAAAATCAGCGGATGAAGCTGGGCGAGGACTGAGGTGTGCGGCCACCGTCGGGTTGGTTGCCTACCTTGCCGTCGATGAAGCTGGCCCAGAAGCGGGCCATGGCCCTCTCGTAGGGGTCGGCGGGGAGGAGGGGTGGGCCGGGGAAGGCCTCGTCGACGTACTCGACGATAAGGAGGGACTCGCAGACGGCGCGGTCGCCGTAGAGGAGCACGGGAACTTTCTTGTGGACGGGGTTGTTGGCCAGCAGCAGCTCGCTTTTGTTTCTCAGGTCTTCTGGGATGAGCTCGTAAGGGACTCCTTTCAGGCGCAGGGCGATCTCGGCGCGGTGGCTGAACGGGCTGTCCAATGCGCCGATCACCTTCACGGCCGCCGCTGGGGAGCTCATCGTCCCTGCCTTGCTCGCTCTCCTGCAAATCAGGTGTAGTAATAGTTCGTGAGACTGAGCTCTGGGAACCCGATGAATCTGTGCTATTTTATACTGGAGCTGGGATATGAGATTGAAACTTCTCCAGGAAGCTGGAACATATTTCTTGTTAAGATCTCCAGTCAAATGGTTTTGTTCCGGTGCTTCCGAGAAGTTTCCTCGGTGCTTCCTCCTTCGGCGCATAGTGATTAAACATTGTAAAGTGCAACCGATCGTAGGCGCATAGTGGAGTAAGTCACATCAAAATGTTTCTTTAAGGATATCACATCTAAGTTTTTAATTGCTGGATCTATCGTGCGTCATTGATTTTCATGGCCATTGTCTTTTTTCTGTTGGTCCGGCCTCTCGTGGCACTGGCCGGCCTCTTTTTATTTCGTTTTTTCTTGGCTGGGTTGTGACTTGTAAGATAAGAATCGAAGAGGCTATCCCGGTTTGTAGTTAGGCTATTTTTTTCGAGTTGCAATTCACCTTCTATATACTAGTCATCAACTTGTGCAACTGCACAGGTTAGGGATTTTTGAAATTTAAATAGTATATGTTTCTGAATAACTTCTGTTACACATGAAAATTTGTAGGTAGGCAGCATGATTTTTCACGTATTTGTAGTTACATTAAAAATTGAAACATGGCATTACTCCGCAATAGTAGAACAAAGCATTTTCTCAAGGTGGCCATTGAATAAACATTGTACATGACATTCATTGGTAAACTTATGGGGTGATTTGAATAAAACATTGGAAAGTGAAAATAAGACCCTTCAAATTTTTACAAAAGTGGATACGTCCACAATCGTGTTAGAGTACACAATCGGCTATTCCAATTGGAGGTTGGATCTATTCGAAGATTGGAATCCAACTTTTTTGTATTTTCTGGAATACCATTGTTGTGTGGGTTTCATTGTGCAGCTACCTTTCTCTATTAAAACAAATCAAAAATCTGCTTGAATGCACACTACAGGAAAAATCATGTTTTTCCGTGTGTTAGCCTATAAGTCATGAGCTATTTTTCAGATACTCGACTTATGTTCCTCTAAGCCGACTCTAAAAAAAACACCCAACAAATCCGAAGGACTCAGCTTCTGACCATCTATATGCCGAGTGTTGCAAAAAAGCTCTAGGCTTATAGGGATCACACGGTACCTACTGGAAAAAGCACCTGGCTTACGGTTCACAGTCAACAAAGACATCTGCCATGTGTCTACAACAGAGGTGGCGTTCCTTATACGAGTCCTATGTACCATATACATGCATGCCTTTTTTTTTTGCTTCCATTGCAGTTTATTTGCATGGTAATTGTAGCATTTTTTTGCATGATAATACGTGTCTCATTCGTATCATAAAGATCAAAGTTCAAATCAAATAAAGACCGACATGAGAAAACTGAAAAAATAGTAGAACATCTCTGAGCTTGACACCTATGCCCGTCACCTGCCTACAACAGCACGACAGCAGCCACCGAAGAAAAGAATGATGAATCACCTCCTCACCCGAGCTCGACGCAGCTCCATAGCTGATATGCAGCTTCGCTGACCTCCAAGGTGGCTCACCAAAAGTGAAGCCCTTACTGTTGAACCAATCAGACCGGTGAAACACCCCAAACATGTCATCTAATTTCAGATCTGGCACCTCATTATGACTAAGACGCCGAAGGAGAAAACCATACCCATCGTCCACAAACCACGGTAATTTTAGTATATACGTGTCTTCTTGCCGGAAGTCAGGTTGTAGTTTGCCTTAGTAAACGTATATGTACAGGTAACTGACTCTATACATCTAGCTTGGTTAATTATTGTGCGTGGTCTGTTCTAGCGTATACTCCTCGTCGTCATCCTCCACAAACCCCGAAGAAACCACCTCGCCGTCACCCTACTTCCTACCGGAGCTGATCCCATTGATCGCGAGCCGCCTGACGACCCTCCAGGACTTATTCGCCCTCCGTGCTGCCTGCCGGGCCTACCGGGCTCGCCTCCAGCTGTCTTCCTCAAACCTCGCCTCGCAGGGTCCGCTACTCCTCGTCCACCACAAGACGTCTGCCGCGCTCTTCCACATCCCCCTCGGCCGCATACTGCGCTTCCGCCTCCCACGCGCCCCCCTAGCGCATGGAAGACCCACCTGCTTCGGCCGGCTCTTCACCCCGCCAAGTCCTCAGCCTCACGCCCTCACCTGCTTCCACTCCTTCGGCTGTCGCGTCGCCATACAAGGCAGGAGCGCCAGCGCCAGCCGCCCCGAGCTCCGCATTCGCCACCTCCTCACAGGCGAGCGAGCCCGCCTGCCCGATCCCCCGAAATGCGTTGGAGCTATTCTCTTTTCCAATGACTTAATCCTCGCCTTCACGCCATGGCACCGCGACATCTACTACTGCCGCATTGGGGATGCTCAGTGGCAAGCGGCGCGGTGCGATGAGGGCTACAACCTTCACAGTCTGATGTTCGTGAAAGGCACCCTCTACGCGTTGATTTATCCAAATTATCGTCTTGCTGTTGTCGAGCTTGACAACAATTCCGTGGTGTTGTCATTTCTTGGGGATGAACTTAGCGCACATACAGTACCAGATGGTAATTTGGTGGCCTGGCTCGCAGAGTGTCATGACGAGCTATTGCTAATTATCAGAAGGAGGCAGTACCGTGTGTTACAGTGGCAATCCAAGGAGAGGAAGTGGGCGAGGACACATAGCCTTGGTGGTTGTAGCTTGTTCTTTAATATGCATGAGTTTGCTGGTTGCCTTGGTCCAGATCATCCGGGAGTTCGAAGAGACTGCTTGTACTTTACTGGAAGCTTTGGGAACTGGAGCGAGTATTCTTTGGTTGATAGATCTTTGCATGAAATTGTTGCCGACTACCCAGGGCAATCAGTATCATCAAAGGATTTTGTATCACTGGCTTGGGTCCTTCCAAGCATTTGTTGATGCAGTACAATGCGTATAAGAACTGCCCAGAAGTTCTCAAGGTACATTTGCTCCCTTGTGACTATTGTTAATGGATTAGAGTTTTGCATTTTATGTTTATTAATCAAAATATTTATGTGACTCTTCAGCAACAAATGTATATGAACTTGTGTATGAATGGACATCCCGACTCACTGTCTTCCTCAAATATTTGACAGTAATTAATGTTCATCAAATTAGTCTTGGCGTATGGTTTGATTATTTCGTTAATTGATGACAGCAACAACTATGAAATGGACATTTAGGGAATAAGTGGAGAGCATCACTTAATAGAACCGCATACATACTTCAGAGGAAGATTGCAATTTTAAAAAAATGTTTTTTGGGATTGCGTAGTAAGGCCTGGGTAGTGTGTGCCGCTTCCTTCACTCCTGCAACGAGCGGGAGCTAGAATTTCCCTCCTACGCCAAGTCGTGCCGAGGGAAGACAAGGTTGGTACGAACAAATAATCAATATGCACAGTCCTTCCCCTTGCTATTGTCACTATCTATTTATTTTGATCACATCTTGGATCTGATGCCGCAGAAAACAATGGCATGCACACAGAGGTAGTCTTACACTCTATCCAGGTTGCCAAATCCATTCAGGGGCCAAACTATGGAGTTCACATTAAGACTAACAGAAGTGTGTGATATTTGGCAAAATTTATAAGAGATGGATTTTATATGTGAAGGTCATGAGTCCAATGTAGATACCCATTGTTTAGCTGAGTCGTAGCTGCCTCAGAACTTTGGTTGTTGCATTTGGATAAGAGATATTGGAAGGTTGATGAGAAATGTCGCTTTTGCTGCTGGAAAGAATCCATTGGTCACATTGCTTTTTCAGTGTGCTGTGCCTAGGTATGTTTGGAAGATTGTTGCCGTGATTCTGGATGTTGGATGTACCTTGTACGATGATGAGGCGTGTGTATTAAATTTTTAGGGAGCGAAGGAGATGTTTTGTTTCTGGTGGAGTTGCAGCGTTGCTTGCTGTAGCAATCTGTACTCTCTTAAACCTAATGCTGTTATTTCTATGATGTTCACATGTGCTGTCTTATCGGTTTGCCTTGCAGAAGAGAAATTAACCTCGGAAGCAAACGGTGCTTCGTGGCCAAGTTGTTGTTGGCAGTGGCGACAGAAATCTTGAACAAGTGATGATGGCTGTGGGGAGCCTGATTCAGTATGCTTTGCGGTCTGTAGCGTGACGAAGAGAACCATGGCTCGTTTGGTGGGCTCGTAGTCGTTTGCTCTCATTTTTCTGTACACTCACGTTGTGTGTGTAAACAAACAAATCTTGTGTGTTGATCAGCTTCTATGTTATATATTCCAGTGTCGTCGTCTTTAGCCAATGATCATGGCTACCGTCGCAATTAGTGCTGAATGTGGTGTCAAGCAGAGATTTTGTCTTACTTTGGACTGCAGAGGGATGTCAACTGCTTTAGCTGTAGCGCAACCAGCGTTCGGTGCATCTCTGTATCTCTCGTCTTGGAGCTGACAGTAGGCTATAAATGGCAATGGTGAACTCAGCGTCTTACAGAGACCCACCAGGCATAGCCGATGGCAATGATGGCCAAGCTCGCTGTTGTGCTTGTATTTCTCGGCTGTGTGGCGTGTACATGTTAAGCAGGGTATGGATATCCGAACCCGACACATCCTCAACGGGTGCGGACCTCTAGACCCCATCCGCCCGCCCCGACGAGCGACTCGTCGACGGCAAGGCCGTTGTGGAGGAGCAGCGGCACCTTGTGGACCGGGTTGCTGTCGAGGAGGAGCAGCGGCACCTTCTTCTGGACCCGGTTGCTTCATTTGCTTTGGCTTTGCTGCACATTTTTGTGTGTAAACGAATGACGACCCTCGGGTGTTTTATCATCTTCTATGAAATGGACTGAAACGAAGCGAAGTTGGGTGCGAGCGACTATATATCTGGTAAAAAATTTGTTTGGTTTATTTAGCTACCATGGATTGTGCGTTATTGGAATAAAGCGCTATGAAAATTCCACTAAGGAATGAAACTAAGGGAAGGTCAGAGATACTCTTGAA